GCGCGCACACACACATATGCTGCTACGCATTACTACCCTTGAGACCTCCGTTATGGACATTGTATGTTTGCTGCAGATAGACAGAATAATTTTAGCATTCAGGCTTCATGTAGCTACAGTGTCCCGGGACCCTATCAGAAACTGCAGGGCAGCATGTGTTTGAAGGTTTGGAATGCATACGCCTGTGAACGAGTAGCGCATATGTGTGCGTTTGCTGCTGTATTTTGTTTGCTATACCCTGCTTGCAATCTCCTGGATTGACATGTTTGACGCACTCACCTCCCTTTAGACCACAAGAGATTGAACTTGCAGGTTGATCGTTCGAGATCTTGAGAATGGATGCTGTGTCCATTTTGCAGAAAGAGCTCGTTTGCTTGCGCACCTTATCCAAGACCAGTTTGTACGTCCAATTGATGTGTTTTCCAAGCAAGACCAGGCAAGGGGAAATGCAGTGTTTTACGAGGATCTTGATTTGGTCCTGGCTTGCCATCAACTGAGGGTCCAGTGAGTGAAGTACGAATCGATTTGAGGATCCATTGGTCTCCAAATGTCTCCAACGGGTGCATAGTGGGTGTATCAGAGCTATGCAGCGCGCAGGCAAGAAGGCTTCCAAACCAACTATTGCGCGCCAGAGGCGCCTGCATGAATGCATTCCTCCTCGCGATCGACACGTGTTCGGAGTGATGGAAGAACCACACACGACATGTCACAGGGTGCGGTGTCGAACGCTTACACATGCATTGGCATACATCGGAACTTGCTGGAAGTCAGGACGAGCCTCTTGACAGTGCACACAAAGTCTGACACTTTGCAGATTTGCCAGGGGAGTGCCGAAATCACGGCATCGAAAGTTCCCGAAGCCTGTGCTCGCGTGACCAAGGGGGTTTTCAGGCCGGGATCGATTGGCGACTTGGACTCATGTCATGAGCAAGTTCGAGCCACCAGCAAAGCCTTCAGTTGTGAAGGCTTGAATCGCCTACTGTGTTGACGAGCGGAAAAGCATCGCACTAAGTCAGGATTCTCAAGTAGAGTTTGGTATAGTTGACTTAGGTTCCCGACTTGAAGTGTCAAAAGTCGTATGTTGGTCTGAATGCAGGCAGAGTGACTGACATTTTGTGATATAGTGACTCACATGTTGCGGTTTGTCCTACCTTCTCAAGCACCCATTGGCGGTCGACTGTTCCAGGCTAGTCCAAGATGGAACCGTGGGCCAGGCCATGGCGGGGCGGGGGATTGTCAGGATGCGGGGCCACAAGCCAAGTACTCGCTGATCTGAGCATGAGCGAAATGGGGCATGGCACCGCCTTTGACCTGGGTGTCAAAGCCTCATCCATGTGGCCTGCACACCACTTGCACTTGAAGCAATGTGAGTTTCCTGAGTCTGCTGTTTAGCGTTGGCAGCCTGAGTATGAAGCAGGTATCGGAATTGGAGAGGTGCATTGCTTTACACTTGGGCCCACATTTGCCATCATAATTTGAGGCGGGTGCTTGGAGGCACCATGCAACTCCCTCACTCAAAAATCGGATTTTCCTGCCAGCAAGCGTCAAAACATCCAGATTCTCGCGTAGCTTTACATGTCGCGGAGTGGGGCAGCGAAGTGGGACTATCGACTTGTCATGTGTGCTTGTGTTTCTCTTTTGATTGTTTTCACTATTGCTCTTGTGTGCAGTTTGTTTCATGTTTACCTCCGTTTACCTCCCCCTATGTTCACAAGCAGACAAGCAATACCACCCTCAAAGCCTAAATCTGGGGACTTTGATGGTTTCGAGTGGAACGAGCTTCGAGGCCAGATAAAATGCGAGATGGTTCAGCTGATTCCCCCCCAAAACTCGGTAGCCCTTGAATGATTTTGAGCACAAAAGCCGTATCCATGCAAAATAGGAGGCGCAACCGCACTAGCTCCCATGGCCTTCCTCGTCTCATTGATCATGGATCTGCCAGGGTAGCCTGCCCACGTGTACGCCCACCTGCGTGAACACGTTTGCACAGGCCAGCGTGAACTCGGAGCCGTCGCATCGATCGATGCATAAGAGAAGCACTGGAAAGCATCAACTTCAAAACTATCTGAGTTATCTGAGTTCAACTTCACGCACTTCCTGGGTTCATGGACTTTAAACTTTTTGGGACCATTTTAATTAGTGGCAACAAGTTCGGATACTTTTTAGGCCCAGACTTTTGCAGCGGCCGGTTTCATGAGCGAACAAGTATGTTGTTTACTTCCTGCCAGTTTGCAGCTCCACCAATCTCATTGCTTGATGACCTTTATCACGCCGAAAGCATCTTTCGCAACATTGAGCAGTTCAAATGGCATCAAACCGTTTTCAAGTCCAACCCGGAAAGTCTGGGCAGTTTGGGATGATGCCAAACCTTAGCAAAAATTTCCAAAGGCTGGTTCTGGTTCCGGATTGCCAGTACCAGGCACACTCGACAAGCATGATTCGACGCTGGCAGATACCAAATGTGGTGCACGAGAACTGCGACAATTGCAGACCGGACGAGGAGACGCCGTGTCGTGCAACCCGACTTGTTTGTACTTGTGAACTCTTGCATTTTGAAAGCATCAATTGTGGTAGGTATGTTTTTTTAGGACCCACTCAGAATCTTTGGACCACCGCTTATAGTTGTTCAGCGCCTTGTCTCCTGATCGGCGAGTTTGATAGAGCAATGAGGCACCTCAAACTTCAAACCTCGCGCCTTGCGCGATGCATGTTGTTCGTTCCAGTCGTATCATGAAACGCCAATGCAGTCACTCCATCTCCACGGCCAGTACTGGGGTTCTTGGCAACCTGTGCATTAGTAACCTGTGCATTGCCAGTAGTCATCACTTCTTCGAACCGCTCACGTGCTTTCCTCCGCTATACAGAATCTGCGTCGGTGTAGCGGCACGGTGAGCATTGCTTGTCCTTTGGACTGATTCCTTCCTGAAGGGTTCAATGATTGTTGCATGCGCGTTGCAGAGAGTTCAACGTAATATACGATAGAACACATACTTGCATTTTGGACATCTATGTTGGACATCTGCGCAAACATAGATATACAGATGTGGAACCGAGATTCCAAGCTTGTAGGGCTAGGCTCCTAGATTTCAGGTGCTTCATGTGAGTAGATGTGTTTGCAGGCAACTTTTGAGCAGTTGTTGCTCAAGAAGTTCCTCGGGAAGAATCATTTGTTGTTTAGTAGTGGCTTACCGACATGATACATTGGCTCAAGAAAAACTAGCTGCCGCCCGTGCTGATTTTAGGTAGATCCCACCTTTCAACAGGTTATCAGCCGTATCGCTGGTACCTTGTACAGTCAGCTCTCACCCGCACCGCAATGGCGTCGAGCGGTGACGGATGCCACCCAGCTATAGCAAGGATGAACGAAGCAGTGGCCAACGAATTGATCAAGGGTGGACATCCGGAAGGGAAAACGCCATGCAATCCGTCACAGCGCTCCCGAAGCAGTTTTCCTGAGTCCGACCAAGGCGATGCGCTTGTGCCCATCACCTCGGTCGTCCTTCCGGAGGATTCAATGGGAAGCGGAGGGGAACCTCTCGCCGGACATCAACCAGGACGAGAGATGCATGCACACATGACCAAGAATGAGACTCATCTTCATCAGCATCATGTGTGTGCTCCGAACATATACCAACATAGTCAGACGGTGAATGTGGTCAACACAGGTCCGAGTACAGAAGAAGTGGCTGCCTATGCTTCGGCGCGCCATGACGCCATCATCAATCAGCTTCAAGCAGGCCATGTTGAGGAAAAAGGCCGTCTCTACCAGGACGCGGTGAACCACATCAATGTATGCCAACAAGAGGCAATGGCGAAAGAAAGAGAGTTCAACGAGGCAAAGCAGCAATGGGTTGCAGAGCGACTAGAAGCCGAGAAGAAGTACGAACAGCTCAGATTGATTTGGGAGGTCACGAGCAGCAAGCAGAAGGAGGACGCCGACAGGAGTGCTGCAGAGATGAGAGAGATCATCATGAAGCAATCAAGGGACATCGAAGCACTACGTCGTGAACTGAAATCACGCAGTGAGCAAAGTAGTTCTTCTAATGTTCCGATTTTCGGACTTAGGCCAAAGGCCTCTCCTGTACAGTCGTTTCCTCCTCCCGGCCTGGACCTTAGTTCTAAGACACGAGTCAGGTCAGCTTCCACCGAACTCCGCCGTGATGGACCAGGAGCCGCTGATGATCTGGATGGTGATGGCGATGAATATGAACCGACATCCCCAGCTCAGGATCCAAATGATGGAAACAGGAATCCATCGGGCGCAGACAAAGGCCAGAGCAGAGGCGGTGGGGAACCACCTGCCGGCAATCCCGGTGATGATGATGATTACAATGACGACGATGACGATGGAGATGATGATGGGAAGAAGAGCAAAAAGGACAAGAAGAAGAAGAAGGACAAGAAGAAGAAGAGCAAGAAGGACAAGAAGAAGAAGAAGAAGAAGAAGAGCCACAAGAAGCGAAAGAGTGGATCTCCTTCCGATTTGCCGAGCTCTTCATCGTCCAGCCCCTCAACCTCATCCTCCTCATCATCATCATCGGGGAAAGCCCGTGCGATCCGCAAGAAGCTCAACAAGATCTTGGGTAAGCAGGCACCCACTGCCGACAACGACCACGATAAGCCCAAGGCCAAGGAAGCGGAGAGGATTGTCATTCCCTCTTTCCCACTTCCCGAGAGCTACAGGAACTGGCGCATCAAGGTTCGTGAGGCCGTGTGTGCGGCATCCGACGCTTTCCAGTGGATCAGCAGAGTGTGGGAGCCTGCCGTCACTATAGAAGAGCTCAAGGACCCGGGCGCGTTCCTCACCTTGGACGCCAAGTTGCTATCCGCCCTCACCAACATCATTCAGGGTGACCTGGCGAGACAGCTTGACACATTCAAGGAGATTGAGGCGCAGAAGGGAAACCCTGTTCGTGGAAGACAAGTACTCCTAATGGTACATGAGCACTTGAGTACGAACATCAAGCACGGAGCAACCTACGCCATGGAGGATCTCCTCAACGTGAGGCTCGTGAACGATAACCTCACTTCGTTCATGCGTAGCTGGGAGGGTGTCCTTGCAGGAATGAATGCTAAGACGCCGGATGACTCCATGCTTGAGGCTCTGTTCTACAATCAGCTGAAGAAGAGCAAACAAATGCAACACCATTTGAATGTCATTTGAGCGCCTCGGAAGAGTCCGCCGAACGAGAATGGGTTGCTAGGCAGAACGGAGGTAGGCCAGCCGCACCCGCCGCTGAGAGCCAACGTGTGCCTAAAGGGTTTTGCATTGCTTTTGTCAAGTATGGGTCGTGTCAGCGGGACAATTGCACGTACAAGCACGAACAGCCATCGAGCAATCCCAGGGGAAGGACCCCTTCGAGGGACAAGCCAAAGAAGGGTAAGGGCAAAGGCCGGACGAATAGCCCGAAGGGAAAGAAGGAATGCCGTTTCTACCCTAAGGGAAGGTGTGACCGAGGCGAGAACTGCCCATTCGCTCACATCGATCCAAAGCCTGCCGTTCCCGGGTCCAGGGAACCATCCGCAGACAAGCAGAAGAAGGAGAAAAAGGATCGGAAGCATAGGAAGTTGAGCAGGGATCGTTCCAAATCGACCTCTCGATCCACCTCCCGTGACTCGAAGGGAGACAAAAAGAAGAGCCACAAAAAAAATCTTCCGGAAAACCATCTCCTGCTGCCGTGTGTGTGTTGGGATGCTTGCTGCCCCTATCGCTGAGGGGAACCTCATGTCGGACTGGAAGCAAGTGCCTGCCCTTCCAAGTGTGCGTTTTAGCTCAAGGGTTGAAGTGAATCAGATACCAGCACGTGGTGAGCAGTGGAAAATCGATGACAGACCGCGCGTATTCAAAGGTCTACCCAATTGACCATCCGTTCTTCCATGATCAGATCACAATTGACGACGCCAGGCTTGAGGCAGTCATGCTCGCTTACACTGTCAGACGCGAAGTGGAAGGCCATCCGGCCAAATGCGGATACGAGTGTGATAGCGAGATTGGTTGCAAGCGCTGCGCCCCAAAAGACATGGGTGCCAAGCCTGCGCTTGCGAGCGAGAGATTTTCTCCAAACTGTTCATGGATTATCGATACCGGGAGTGGAACAGACCTGTTTACCCGTGCGAACTGCCCCGAATATGCATTGTATAATTCAAATGACCCCGTGATGTTGATGACTGCCAATGGACCAAGTGATTCATCGAAACAGGCCAACATGGCCGCAGGCGAGCTTGGGGACACGAATCCATAATTGTTGCCGCAAACCCCATCTGTTCTTTCTGTTGGTTTGAAATGCATGAATCAGGGTTATGACTTCGTTTGGTATGCAAATAAGAAACCATTCTTTGTCAAGCCTGACGGGACGCGCATAAATCTCACAGTTCGAGATTATGTCCCGTACTATGACGTGTGGGATGGCGAATCAGCCACGGCATGTCCTGCCAAGACCAAGCCGCAGAGCCGACCGGAAGGTCAGGTCGGCGAAAGCAGTGCACCCAGCGAATCATCATACTCTTCCGCGCAAGCTGAAGATGCAGCGGAAGAGGAGTACACGCCTAGCATTGCCCCTCTTGAGGATCCAGAGGCGCATGCTAAAGTTGTCGCTGAGCTTCTGGCGGATGACCCTGGTGAGATTCAACCAAACGAACATGTAGAGCCAATAGAAAGTAAAGACTTGGCGGGGGAGGATGTTGTCGGCAATCCTGATCAGAAGACCCCTAGATCACTTGCAGAGAGTGCCCTCAGGCAGGAAGCAGCGTCACGGAAGCACCTGATGACGCACCAGCCCAAGAATCCATTCTGCGAGGTGTGCAAATGCGCCAAGATGACCAAGTCTCCCTCGCGCTCGCGGGGGGGGGGCCCAGACAAGTTGATGCTCGAAAATTTGCTGAGCGCATCACAGCCGATTTCATAATCACTGCAGATGAACAGGAACTGGGCATAGACGATGAATACTCTGATCTTGTCATAAGTGACGTTGCCACTGGTTTCAAATATGCATACCCATTTGCTAAAAGAAACACAGAAGCCACCGTGAAGGCGTTTCAGCATTTCACATCCCCATCAGATGAGGTAGGCGCATTTTACAGTGACAACGCCCCAGAACTAATTGCTGCAGCTGAAGAGATGGGCTGGAGACATGTTCTCAGTCAAGAGTACATTCACAAATCGAACGCGGTGGCTGAACGAAACATCAGGACCGTGCTCGAGGGAACTCGAGTCGCACTTGCACAAGCGGGATTGAATCATTCATACTGGCCACATGCCGCAAGGCATTGGTGCTTGTCCCAAAATGTTTGCGAACCACCTTCTGGTTCTAGGACGCCTTGGAATCTTAGGTGTGACGAAGAGTTCAAAGGTCAATTCTTGCCGTTCGGATGTCGTATTGACTACTGGATTGGTCCAAGACAGAAACCGAAGAAGGGCTTGAAATTCGACCCCACGTCCAATCCGGGAATCTTTGTTGGGTATGTGATCCACCCCGGCTTTCTATGGAGAGGTGATTACCT